TGAATATAACAAGTTTTATTTGATAAGTTATGAAAAGTTTTGGAATAACTTCTTATTGCTACTCTGCCAACTGTCTTTTTCACCAGATGCCATAAAATATCAAACAGTCATTTGGGCTTCTTAGTATCGCTAACAGATTCTGGATAACAGGGAGTTTACACTGAGAATCAAAAATGACAAAGTAACTAAAAGAATGTAGAAAAAGGAAAAACCCCACACAATTATTATAGGTGGGAAGAGAAGCTTTGTCAGACTGAGAACTCATGCCTCAGTTTTTATTTACAAAACTCATCTTAGTCATATTATACTTCAATAATTAAGACCCCAACCAAATCCAGTTCATAGGTGTTAATGTAAGACATTTATTAGTGTAGATTATTTAGCACAATGATCACATAAAAATGTTCCAAGATACAAATCGTTGAAGTCAATGTCACCAAAAAAAAAAAAGGAAAAAAAACACACTTAGGTGCATGAACAAAGTTATAAAAATATTATTTAAAAACAAAATTATAAAAAAAGAGAGAGAGATTGCATATAAGACAAATTACATTTCAGCAGAGCAATCCTCACTAGTCCGGTCACCTCACCAGTGAGATATTGGACCACGCAGGTATAACCATCATGGCAATACAGCATTTAATTATAGGACTGGATACTTCATATGAAGCTATATATGAAACATGAAATTATTTCTATCAAAATTAAATATCCAACTGAAACAGAGAGAGCTGATAATATATACCAAAATTTAGCTAGCTATTAGTAGGAAATTTCAACAATATCATAAAGTCAAAAGGAAAATGCTTGGGAAAAAAATCTTCAAACACAAATAAACATAACAAATGGAAATAAAAGCGGAAAAAAATCAATGTCAACAATGAAATGTGAGTGTGTGCCTTTGACCACAGCCACAGGAGCACTGCATCCAGGCTGCGGAGACTCATTAGGATAGAAAGATGTCAAAAGCGTTTTTTTAAAAGTTAACACTACCAGTTTTGAAAAATTCTCTGGCCAAAAAAAAAAAAAAATCACACATCCAAGTAAAAAGAAACTGTTTTATTTGATGATATGCTCTACTATGGTAGGAGTTTTTATATTTTGTAACTATTTAAAAGGTAACTGTAAGTTCTTCTCTCTAGAACTTAAGAGTGAGTCCCTTTAGTGCTTTCTCCCAAGAATCCACAGAAGGAATTTTTTGCAGAGAAATCAATCCTATGATCAGAAGAGGACATGCTTCCTAATTTCCAAAAGTCAAGGCAGAGGCTCAATTTAAACTTACATAATATTATGACTTTATAATTTCAAGAGTTTTGTATCAGAAGATCTAAAATAATGTACATCTTGAAATCTTCTTCAGAACCTGATTCCATTTCTTTACTTTAATCTGAAACAATGAGTAACGTGGCAATTTCAAAAACCTTCATAATCAGTAAGAGGACTGAAAATTTAGGATTATTTCACAGTCCACATCTTAAACCAGAACTCCTCTAAGATTTCAAAACACAGCCCATGGTTTTTGTATCCTACTTATAAAAATATCAAAGCTTAGCAACACTGGTGGCTTGGATAAGCCTCATTGGCTACAATACTGCCAGTGCGTAAAAGTAATCAAAGCATATCATCTGAAAAGATTCACAGTACTTAACCCAAATAGTTTCAGATTTTTTTTTAGCTATTAGATTGAAAAAATGAGGAACAGTAAATCCCACTGAGACCATCCTCAGACTGTGAGAATTATAGAATTATAAAGACTAATGTAGATGGCAAAGGACCTGACACATAGATCTTCATGTGTGATCCGCCAATCCTATCATATGCTGCACAGAGGCACCACCAGAGCTAAAAAGGATATTAATTGTTAATTGAGTTTGAGTTTATTCTATGAGATAATAATTTCATTAGAAATCTGATGAATTGGTTGTGGTTCTTCAAGTTGTCACAATTTAGTTTCATTCTTGCCTTGTTACAGAAAAAGTTATTTTTTATCTAAATCAACTTGTTGATTTATAGTTGTTCTAACAAGATTCCATTTTTGTTGCAGTTTTCAATTGTTATTTTGAGATTGCATGATCACACAAAAGTAATTTTAATTATAAAATTTCATACACAATAGTACGGTTGTCAAATTTTCAAGAGAATCTAAGCCTAGTCAAACAGATCAAAATTTCATAATAGAAATAATTTCAGCCCACCCTGCAAATAATAAAGGATGATTTAATTTGAGGAAATATTTTTCAAAGTTTCAGAGCTAATTTAACTTAGAAAACTTCAAATTAGTCATCATTATTCATATTTTAGTGAGGTTGCGAGAAAGAGCCTAAATGATCATCCTTCCTTAAAAGCAAGGTCACAGAGGGAGGAATGAGAAAGAGGAAAAGGGAGGCTCACTGCAGTACTGGTGGACTCAATCCCTTTATGAAAGCACATGTTCTCATTTGGTGTCAGAATACCCTGGTTCATGTTGAAGAACTGAAGATCAAATGAAAAAGGCCAACTGAAAATGTTGAACAAAAAGAAAAATATGAGATGAACTAAGTGATAAAATGAGTTTTAAAGAACAAGAAAAAAAAGACATTAGAATAACCTTTACCAAAAAAAAAAAAAAATACTAAAACGAATTCATCTTCTACTTTGTGCTCACAAAGGGAAAGGAGGTCCCATCAAGCCCTGCAGGGCACAAAAGGAAGTAGGTGGTTTGCTCAGGCATCAGCAGAATTAGGCCCCGAAGAACTACCCTCAGCTTCTTCTATATGGTGTCCAGGAAGGAAAAGCAAAGCTCTGCAAAATGCTGCAGGTTTTAGAAGTGTAACGGTGCTTAGGAAAGATCACTGGTCTGGTGTTGCAGCAGCCCCAGTGTTGAGACACACGCTAGGCTTCTAGGAGGAGAAAAATAGGAAGGGAGGAAGAAGTAGGAAGGGGAAGGAAAGGGTAGAAAAGCACAGGTTATTAGTAAACAGCAAGTTCAAAACAGCAAGATGCTCATAAATCCTTTATACACTATCAGTGGAGATGGTCTGCTCATAAGAATACAGGTAACATTCTGAAGGAAACAGAAATAGGAGTTTTCAAAATGCCACTAAACTACACGTTCCAGTTAGTGTTGACCAAATTAGAATGAAGTCAACATGCTCCAAAAACATGCACTCTTCACCCTGGCCCCCTCCCTATTCCTTCCCATGCACGAATGGAGCATGAATATTTTCAGTAAAGCATCTGTTTTAATACAGTTAAGTGAACTAATTCAGAACTCAAACATCTTCACAGGTACACAAACTATATTCTGCCCAAAGATGGAGCAGTGCCCAACAGCAGAAGGACATGCTCTTCTAACACCACTGGGCAGTTTCTGAACAGCCTGGCTCTCAGAAGTTCCCACCAGGGAACTATGTCTTGAAACAGCAAGGGTCAGGCTGTATGTTATCCCTGTTCTTTTTTCCTGCACTATTAATATTTGGCAATGAGAAACAATTGCTACATGAAGTTTGGGTCTCTTCTGGTCAGACAACATCCTGCTGGAATAGAGATCTCCACTAAAGTTTGATAGCTGTTTCCCTCGTGGATAGAAGCAGTCTTCACCCTTTCAACTGGCTAATCAAATCAGTTCCCTCCAGTCTTGCATTCCCTAGCACTGCCTCCCACATAAAGCAAATTAATTTATTATATTTTTAAATTTTATGTTCAAGCTCCCTCTTTAATCACAGGAACATTTCTATAAATGTTTTTTGAAGCCAAATTACGTAAATGACAGGCCTCAAAGTGGCCACAAAAAAGTCTATACAACTAAGACTATCAAAGAAATACAATATTTCCGTTCACAAACCTGGAAGGTAAGGTAGCACTTCTGATTGTTTCTAGATTTCAAAAGTTACTAATCTATGAGTTGCTAAATAAGGATGCTAATATCATTGGGGTAAGTTAATAATCACAATAAATAGAACATAGTCATCATTAAACCTGAGGTACAAAAATATATACAAAATTTCTAAAAATCACAGAATAAAAAGCAAATCCTGGGATAACTGCTTGCAAACAGAGGCTTTTGGGAAGCCTTAGAAACCAAGAAATCCTGTGACAGATCAAGGAAAGGCTTATCAAGGCTGAGGCTCCATACAAGAGTCACTATAATAGTACTTACCCAGACTGTAATAAAGTGAAGCAAAAGTTTATGCCCCAGTTAAGAGCATACTCTGCTGCAGATGACAATGTGCTTGAGCATTAGAAGTCTACTCTCTGGATCAACAGTATGAGTCTGAGCACAACTGCAAATTAAGTGCAGTTATTTATAAAAATCCAACATAACTCATATCAGCTACCCAAGAAAACATTTAGATAGCAAACACATCCTGTGGGATCCTGCTTTCCTTTGAGAATTTTGCTCCTGGGCAGATACTGGGGTTGGGGAAGGGGATGCAGGAAGTTGTGCTAGTTAGGAGATGGGAATCTATAGGAACTCTTAGTCCTAGTCCTAGCTGACAAAATATCAAACTCTAGAAAGGGTTAGGAGTTAAAAGTTAGAAAGATTTAAAAAGTAACAGTTAAAAGAAAAGTAAAAGAAAAATAGGGCAAACAAGAAAGGAACTTTTAATTTGTAGTTCAAATGTTTTCTAACACTAGCTGTGGAAAGCAAACTAAGTGCACAGTGTGCATTTAGGGAAGAGACCTGCCTACAAAGCTGTAGTAGCCAAAGGTCCCCAGTGTAACATTTCGGTGATCATTCTGCATCTGCAAGTATATTTTTAAGGTTGATTTAGCTTCTGTATGATACAATTACAACAAACATTCAAAGACTATCAAAGGAAATTTACTCTTCTTTTTCCATTGATGAAGATTTTTGTGGCAGATGCCCTGGATTTAAATATATCCAACAAGAAACAATAATATCCTTGGAAGAAATAATCTAGATGCTTCCACTAACAATCCTCCTCAAAGGAGCTTATTAACATGTTTACTGCGGCTGTTTTCAGCCACATATTTGGGGAATCCTAAGAACCACTTACCTGTAGAATCATTTCCTCCTATTCCATGATCACCGTTGGCTAGCACTGCTGGTTTAGAAGATGGAGGACCTGCAACAACCACAAATAATTATCCATTGCGACAGATCCACTATTTGTGACAGAAAAACAGATCTATGTCTACTAGAATTTGTGTCACTCTTCATAACACTGGCTTAAAGTACATAAAGAGCTATCAAATTTTAAAGATCCAATAAAAGGAAACCCAGTGACAAAGAATAGAACTGAGCCATTGATGTCCACACGGTGCCCAAGTTCTGTTAATATCCCCACTGGAGAAAAGGTCTTCCTAAATGCAAGCCAATGTCTTTTCAGCTCTGTAAACTGTCAAAGATTACCTTATACTCAATAAAAACATCATCAAGTCCTATGGTTTACAATCTATGATTCAAATAAAATGTTTCAAGCACACAGAACCATTTAAAATAACCTCCACATAAATGTCCAGGGCACCATCATTGTTCCTGTACATGAGAATTATGCAGAGGTCATCAGAAGCACTTCTAGAAGCAGAGGAGTTTTTGTTCTTTTTTTAATTTTAGTTATTCTAATAGGAGTGTTTTGGGATCTCATTCCCTAATAACTAAAGATGTTAAACATCTTTTCATGTGTTTATTTGTCATCCCTTTATTTTCCTTTGGTGAATTGAACAGTCAATTTTTTGGACTATTTTTCAATTGGTTGTTTCCTTACCATTGACTTGTAAGAATTATATTATATATTCTGGCTACCAATCCTTTATCAGGTGAATTTTGCAAATGTTTTCTCCCAGTCTTTACCTTGTATTTTCATTTTAACTGTGTGTTTTGAAGAGTAAAAGTTTTACTTTTTTAAAAAAGTTTAATAATAACGTGGCTTCAGAGGACATCTTAAATCATTTAGCTAAGACCAGGGAGGTTACAGAAGAAAGGGGAGGTCAATTAGGGAGGTTATCAGGGAAGGCACAGTAGACAAAAGTATGCAAATTTAATCCTGCCTTCTCCACTGAAAAGAGCTAGAGATTAGGTCTTTCTAGTACACACCCTTACAGAAGTATATCTTTTGTTTTGTTTTGTTTTTTTTAAGATTTATTTATTTATACAAGCACTGGGTACAGTCAGAAGCACGGGAGGGCGAGAGAATTCACCAGAGCCAGAGCAGGGAGCAGAGCAGGCAGAAGGACCGAAGTACACTGCTGAGGGGAGCAGCGGGCGGCAGGAGAGATCTGCGTGCCATGTGGGACCCTCACCCTGTGGCCGGGGATTGAACCGGCGCTGCGGAGGCTGCGGGCAGCTTCGCAACCCAGCGCTCAACCGCTGCGCCACCCGGGAGGCCCCAGAAGTATATCTTTTTTAAAAGCAACGTTGACCCACCCTTCATATTCCCTCCCATTAAATCAGACTTTTGCCGGGCCTCCCCTGGTGGTGCAGCGGTTGAGCGCTGGGTTGCGAGGCTGCCCGCAGCCTCTGTAGCTCAGTTCCATCCCCGGCCACCGGTGACGGTCCCACAAAAAAAAAAAAAAAAAATCAGACTTTTGCCAAAAAGGACATATTTGGGGATGGCAGATTTTTGCTTCCCTATACAAGCAAGGAAATCTAGGAAAGAGCTGGATGTTTTAGAGATGTAGAACTGGAAACCATCTCTAAGCACAACAGGGGTTCAGAGTAAAGGCAAATACTTCAAGATAATACTGGAAGATGGTGGTTAAAGGGGAAACCTGGAGGTTTTCCCTTTGTGGATAAATATTGCAGGTAACTACAGGGTCTCCCTTGGTGGCGCAGGCAGTTGAGCGCAGTGCTGTGAAGCTGTCCGCAGCCTCTGCAGTGGCGGTTCAATCCCAGCTGGCTGGCAAGGGTCCCACATGGCGCCGCAGACCTCTCCTGTCGTACCCCTCAGCAGTGTATTTCATCAGTCTGCCTGTTCTGTTCCCTGCTGTCTCTGGTGAATCCTTTCACCCTCCGGCACATCTGGCCTGTACCCCAGTTCTTATATGAAAATAAATAAATAAATCTTAAAAAAATATATATTGCGATTAACTATAAAGCAACAGATTTTTTTTAAGATTTATTTTTATTTATTTATGCATTTAAGAACTAAGGTGTAGGCCAGAAGTGCAGGGGGTGAGAAGATTCACCAGAGACAAGAGTGGGGAGCAGAACAGGCAGCTCTACTGAAATACACTGCTGAGAGGAACAGCAGGCAAGACAGGAGAGGTCTGCTGTGCATCCTGGCCGGGTTCAAACTCATGCCACAGTGGCTGGCGATGCTTGATAGAGCTGAGACTTTAACCCCTATGCCACTGGGAGGCCCCAAAGCAACAGATTTTTAAACTTTCATGGGGGAAGACAGGGTCCTGCTTGTCCTTCAATGATTATCTTCCAAATATTTATTTTTCAGTAATCATACTTGCATTTTTCATAGAGTACATGGTCTACATAGAGTTACTTAGAAAGCTGTGATGAACACAACCGCCTTATAAACATGCCAACCATATGGCTGCCATTTGCTTATATTAGACTGTTCTGAAACCTGGATAGCAGTTCCCCAGATACCCACAGGGCCAACTTTGTCCACTTCATTATAAATGGGCTTTGAAAACAACAGCTGGTATTTTCCATAAGCAAGTAAATCTGTATCACAGTACCCAACATCAGTTAGGCCTAGAAGAGGTGATCCTTCTGTCTTCCATCCTACTTGGTCTACAATCTTTCTTGGCAACAAGTACCCAGCCTCTAGGACCTCAAATCCTAGTCCCTGCATCTCCTCTCTTAATATTTAATCTAAGGAATACTGCTAAGTGTAGATAATTTTGATGCAAATATGCTCATTGCATTATGTTAACAAAAACTATACAACCAAATGTTCAATGGTAGGAAAAATAGTTACAACTACATTTTTAAACCAAATACGGCAAAAATTACCAAAGTGGGACAGTAGGGGAGGAGAGGGAGGTTTGTTTTTCTGCAATGACAATGTACTGTTACTTTGATAAAAGTCAGATTTTGAAAACAGATTGTGTACATATGGCACATGGTAAAGACCTTTTTGTCTAATGCAAACACAAGAATTAAGGCAGAGTAGAGCTACTTCATGTTTCTGTAGCTGGTGAACCCAAGTACCTCAATTAACTGAAATCTGCTTTCCATCAGCAAGACTGTGACAGTTCCACCACTGAACATGTGGGAGATTAAAAGTTTTAAATTTGGGGCCTCCCTAGTGGTGCAGGAGTTAAGTCTCAGTGCTGTCAAGCTAGCTATCAAACTATCACCAGTCACTGTGGTAGGAGTTCAATCCCTGGCCAGGGAGCTACTACCCACATGGCACAGCAGACCTCTCCTGTCTTGCCTGTTGCTCCCCTCTGCAGTGTATTTCAGTAGATCTGCCTGCTTTGCTCACCACTCTGTCTCTGGTGAATCCTCTCACTCCCCGTACCTCTGACCTATATATGCCCCAGTTCTTGCATGCATGCATAAATAAAATAGATCTTTAAAAAAAAGTTTTAAATTTTGAAGAAAACTAATTGATCATTTTTTCTTTCATGCTTTTGGTGAGGCATGCAAGAAGTCTTTGCATTTTGTATACAGTATAAGAGAAACATCTAAGTGCATAATTTTGCATGTACAACATCAAATTGTTCCTGTATCATTTGTTGAAAAAATTATCCTTATTCCACTAAATTGTCTTTGCAACTTTATGAAAATTAATTAATCATGTTATGTATAGGCCTAATTCTGGACTCTTCTCTTCCACTGCCCTCTATGCCTGTGCATTTTATCAATACAACATCATCTTGATGTTGTATTGTAAAAAGTCTTGAAATGAGGTATGTGAGTCCTCTAACTTTGGTCTTTTCCAAAATTGTTTTGTGTATCCTAGTTCCTCTGATTTTTCATATAAATTTTAAAATCAAGTGGTGATTTATATAAAAACCCTGACGGGATCTTGATTTAAATACATAGATTATATGGATCAATTTGTATACACAACCTTTCTTTAAAAGCTCTAACTATATCTAAGTGTAGATAATTTCAGCAACCTCACTAGCTCCACAGTCAATCTGCCAACTAAAGAGTTTCCTATGAATCATATCAAGAATATCAGAACTATTTTTCACAAGACAGGAGAAAATCTAGAATGCATGCTACTAAAATATAAAATATAAGATTTTACTTTGGAAGTGAACAAATGACTCTGTCTAACTTTCTGGCTCCCACATATTTAAGGCAGGAATCTTGAAACAACTCAAGATTATTTATTCTGTTATCTGAGAGGAACAACTAAAAATAACAGACTAAAAGACAGTACCAACTAGGTGGAAGAAGAAAAGGGTAAATAAAGGAATGAAAGAAAGACAATAGACTTTTATTAAATACCCACTATGCACCACGTACCATGCACCATGCTAGGGCCTCACATACTGTGTTTTATTTATCCAGAGAGATGTCAAGTATGTTCTAGCTGTTATTTATAGCAAATATGGGAGAGAACATATGCCAAATATGGGATAGAACATATCTGGCACAAATAAATTCCCTATTACATTCACACAGTAAGCTTAAAAATTTATTCTTCCAAGCTCAAGAAGGCTAATTTTTAAAATTTGTCTCACTTTAAAATGTTGATTACAAAAAAGTAAAATGCAGATTACAGGAAATACATATTTTAAAAGTTGATACCATTTGTCATGAGTGATAAAATCTTTTTTTAATTTACTAATAACCAATGCTGGCAAATATATAGGAAAATAGGTAATCTCATACACTACTGGGGAAATATAAATCAGAACAGTCTATCAAAGGGCCTCGGTGGCACAAGGTGTTAGGACACAGCACTACGAAGCAATCTGCAGCCACTGCAGCATGAGTTTGATCCCTGGCCAGGGAGGTGACCTACATGGCGCAGCAGACCCCTCTTGACTCAACCGCTGCTCCCTTCAGCAGTGTTTCAGTCAATTGCCTGTACTGTTCCCCACTCTGCCTCTGGTGAATCATCTCACCCCACATCTCTGGCCTGTACCCCAGTTCTTGTACGCACAAATAAATAAATCTTTAAAAAATATTTAATGTCTGTCA